TAATTACTGGAGTTATTACCCTTGGTTTCATTAATGCGATGCATGCGTTCCATGATGTTGTATTGCACTCATTGATCTACCAGTTATGTTGAATGATTTCTCTTTTAATATCAATTACTCACAAATACTTCATATATTTCAATCATACAAACAACTGCTCATTCAATGTGTGACGGGCGTATTATATACCGCTCGCGGTAACCTTGTTCTATATGAATACATCAAATACACAGTGGAGCTTTGCTTATCCGCACACCTTGATTTCCACAAAAATGGATGGATTACTTGGATGATTTAGTATAAAAAAGGCCATAGTAGCCCCAGACTCTGGTTAGATAGAGGACAACAGGATGAGTGGCGACTGGATAAATTAGTTTGACTGTGTTTTGAGTTGCATGGTGATAATTCATTAAAAACTGTATATTTTATAACATATAGCTATATATTTATTTAAACATGTTTTCTAGGACATTCTGAATAGTTGGTAACTTTCGTTATATATCCACGGTCACCACAGATAGTACACAATTTAATAGTATGCAAATATTAATACCATGAATATACAGAGATAACAGAAATTTAGACCTGTTTACCCAACAACAGTAAAACACCAATTCAATGTACAATTTTGATAAAATATTGTGAGATATATCCCATCACCAAAACACAAATGTACTTGCGATTTCTACTCCTTTCAGTAAACGTGTACTTTGGGACCAGTATCACAACCTGCGGTACCCGCCCGGCTATTTCCCGAGGGACAACCTAAGGATGAAGAATGACCCCCTTGACTGGTATGTCATATACTGTGAAATCAGTTATTTTTTGTGGGGCCATAACGTCGTGGTTTCCCGACAAAACACCATTTTGTGGACACATGAATTTGTGGATTAAGAGTACCCACTCAAACAGAAAATTGCTTTATATCAAACTTGTAAATACTTTGTTGACGAAAATTACCAAAGAAATCAATGAAATTAAAAACCCACAAAAATTTGTGATTTTACAGTATGTTCTGTCATATATATGCAAGTGGCCATGGTGTACTGTATACCGGGAAACTGTCGCCAGGTCAAATATTCACCCTTTGTCGATAAAATGCATGTAGTCCTAGTGTTAATTTCGCCATAAACATGTAATTACTGTACATTGTATGTTGTCTTCTTATATGCGCTATCAAGATAAAAAAAGGTCAAAAGTTCAGCTGTGGCTAACATTTTCTCGTATACAGTATAACTACGCTACAATCATGTACTAAATGTCTAAAATTTAATTGCAATTCATATTGGAGGTTTTCTTAAAATGTAAATCTTAAGTGCAATAAATGTCTTTCGTAAAGATTTTTTTAAATTATTATTTGCGCTGAATAAAACCTGCAAATTCTAACCTCCTGCAGACTGTTTGCAAAGATTCATAATGAGACATGATTCATGAAACAGTTCCCATACTTAAACAAGAATTATTTGCTGAAATTGACGTTCTCGTCCATTGCTGAAATCATGCGACACAGAAAGTTAAGTCTAAATACTGAAAATAGTTTTCGGCTTAAAGTCTCTTCAATTTTCCTCCAAATCATTGAAAAAGTGTGAAATTTTGATCATTTATCATTGACAAGGAATTGGCCGTGAGCATGGATTCAAAGTTTGAACATAGTGAGAATGGTTTCATGAAAATGGGCCCAGAATTTGAGCCGAATAGCTCCCAATGGAAAAACATCACAGAACTGGTCTTGGTCCAGCAACATTGTATTCTAAAGTGCTGTATAGGTTTTCAGACCAAAAATATCGTTAATTATTCAAAACCAAGAATTGTATTTTGTTGCTTTGTTTGTCACTTTGACCTTGACAGATTGAAAGAGATATTTACATTTTCTGATTTATTTTTTCTTTCAGGAATGGGGATCATATCCACACAAATTTCAAAGACATGTACCAACATCTGAGGAGTAGCGGCTACTTTGTGGAGGTCTTAGGTGAGAACAACGGGGTCCATCATTTTGGTTAAAATAGAGAATAATACATGCCTTTTTCCATATCAAACCCAGTATCAACCCGAGATTCCAATATCAGCCAGAGGGCTGAGGGACGAAGGCCTGAGGGCTAATATTGGTCGTGGGTTGATACTTGATGTGATATGAGAAAAAGACATGTTTTATTCTGTTTATTACATACTAACTAATAAAATACGTAATGATCTACTATCTTATGATCTATTTTTCTTTTGAAATATTGAAAAACATTTTTTTTTCAAAAGGGGTGTGATACAGGTTTTGTGGGCTGATACAGAGAGAGCTGATACAGGTTTTGGGGTGTGATACAGCGAGGGCTGATATGGGTTAGAGCAATTGTATTTATTAGTGAGTATGTAATAAAAGTGGTTAAAGTGTTAGGAGGAAGTTAACATTGAAATGTTTATGTATAGATACCAATGATAAAAGAAAAAAAAATGTATTATTGCTATGTAGAGTATTAACTCAACGTATTATGGGTGTATTGAATATAATAACTATGCCTTAAAAATCCAGTCACCATTTTCTTAGTGGCTAAAATTAAAATATAACTGGATCACTGGGGAAGAGTTGTATATGTAACAGAGGTCATTATAGGAGTCTAACCTTCTCGATTATTAGTCTTATGGTCTACCGAATTCTGCCTTGCCAGGTCGGAAGGAAGCAGCTAGTATTTTACCAGGGTGACATATTCCCCTTCAAGGAAAGAACTTGTCCCGAGTTTTCCAGAGGTCATAGCGATTCTTGTGAAAGTATCACTGAGGATATTTGTCAATATAATCTTGGTTTCTACGTGGGCATCAATTTAACAGAGGTCATTATTTCTTCAATGCCAGGAGTCGAACCTGGGACCTCTCGATAGCTAAAGATTAATTCTCCCTAGCCAAGTCGGTAGGAAGCGGCTAGTATCTTACCAAGGTGACAAACAGAAAAATTCCATCACACAGGCTTGAGAGTAGTGGCTGGAATAACAAGGCTTGATGTTATTCCATGAGTATATAGGGGGAAATGATGTAATTTTTGTGTGTATTGAGTGGAATAATGTATTAAATCAGCATACTATGATTTTAATACTGATTCCGTGTGTATTCTTCCTGCGGGTGTAGGTTCCCCGTTCACCTGTTTTGATGCCAGCCAGTACGGGACGCTGATGATCGTGGATGCTGAGGAGGAGTATTTCCCGGAGGAAGTGACCAAACTCAAGCGCGACGTTGACAACGGCTTGTCCATCATCATCTTCGGGGACTGGTATAACGTGTCTGTGATGAGGAAAGTCAAGTTCTATGATGAAAACACCAGGTATTTGTTTGCTTTGATTTGCACGAAACTTTTTGTACAAGCCTATAGTATCAAGTACTCGCTAAAATACTTGGCTGCCATGGAGGGCAGGTGACACACCTGTCTAAGGTTATATTTGTATATCCTGGTTGAAATGGTTCAGGTGACGCAGAAACATTTCTACGATAAACGAACACACTTGGATCAAACTATAGGCAGAGCTCAAAAAAAGTAGTTTCAGAGAATAAATAACAATAGATCAAGAATAATATGTCCTCCTTACAGTCTTAAAATCTGCATGTGGCTTGACCTGGTTTTATGAAATATTTTTAATAAAAATGCAAACTAACAGTAGTCAGCATTTTAGTTTCAGTCAGGCACGTCTGGACCCCTCAATCTACACATGCTGGATATACCTGAGGTCAGACTCGGTTCAGATCTGTGTCTGTCATTTTCTTTCAGGTTCAACCGTTTCAACTGGTTGAACCAGATACATGAAAGGCCTAAATTTCAACTATTCACAAAGAACTTTCGACAGGTATCTTAGCATGGAACTTTTTTTTGAAAGGAGATAGATGTATATGTCTATAAGCATATAACCTTAATATAAAACCTTGATTTTGATCACTAACTATACAGAAATTATGTGTCGTGTGTTACAGACAGTGGTGGATGCCAGACACTGGAGGGGCTAATCTACCTGCCACTAATGACCTACTGGCACCATTTGGAATGGCATTCAGGTAACAAAGACTGGGAGATAGAAAGAGTTTCACATTCACAGTGTTCCCAGAAACCCACAAAGGAAGGTTTTTCACCCCTAAAACGAGTACCCCCAGTTTTCAACAATTGCACTATTTAAATAAGTACTAAGGGTTACATAATCTTGAAAATGTATCAAATATACCTTCAAATCTTATATATATACCTCCAAATCTTATATTCCGTGGAAAGACTGATTCTTTATGTTATCAGTTGCATAATTGAATAATTGATTAAGTAAGCAGACTTTTACTATTTGTTTGCCCCTACACACATAGCACAGTGTGCATTAAATATTTAATTGCCCTTTCTGTCAGTCTGTCCATCTGTCAGACATTTTAGTCAACCCTTTCACCACTGTAGCCCATAATGGACTCATCAACATCAATGTTTGGGAGAGTCTACTGAAGTTGCATAGGGGTGAAAGGGTTAAACTTTGTGTTTAGCTTCATTACTCGTTAACTCTCCTTACATTTGATCAAGCTTCATAAGTAAATACACTTTAAAGTATGACACAAAAATCGGTGAAGGTCACTGTGACCTATACTTTCGACTTAATTGAATTTGGTTAGACATAACATTTAGCTCCATTTCCTTCAAAGCAGGAGGAAATGTGGAGACGTCATATATATGCTCTATCAACATTTTACATTTAAAATAAATACAATATGTTGATATTGTGACATGTTTCCACAGTTGCTGGATGTTAATTATTGGGCTATAATATGTTTTCTTCAGGAAATGGAGACATAGTATCTAAGATCATGTAACACAACCTACAGATTGTAAACCCTTTCACCACTGTAAACTATAATGGACTCATCGATATCAATACATGGTAGAGTCTACTAAAGTTACATAGGGGTGAAAGGGTTAATTCAAGTTACTACAGTGTCTGGTGCAATATTTATAACCCCTGCAAATGAGTTTGTGGGGTATATAGGAATTAACCTATCCCTCTGCGTGTCTGTCTGTCCATGATCCTTGTAAGTGCAACTCTTTTTAATCTGTGTGTTAGATTTTTATTGATTTTTAATTTTGCACAATGAAAGTACATCGTTTGTAGATGTGAATGAAGAAAGGAATTGAAAGTACATTGTTTGTAGATGTGCATGAAGAAAAGACTTTGTGTTTTGACTATTTTTTCCTGGAGTTATGGCCCTTTAAAGTTTCTGCTCCAGAAACCTTGTAAGCACAACTCCTTCTTAACAGTTGGCCGGAACTCCTTATAACTTGTATCGTTATGTTTTACAGTGACCAAGTGTACGAGGGAGACTTCATGATGGGAGAACATGACAGTAAGTCTGAAACTATTGTTCATATTGACTGTAGATTTGGTCAGATTTCTTCTGCTGATGTACAGCTTTGATAAGATCGATGTTTAAGGTCAGAACATCGATGTTTAAGGTCAGAACAAACAGGTTTTCTATTTACACAGTAATATGTAAATGTGACTGTTGGACCAATTAAAAGGTGTGGTGTATACAGGTGTCAGTCTAGACAGTCTCCACTGTCACTGCAGTTATACTGTTTACCCAGACCAAGTAAAAGGTGTGGTGTATACAGGTGTCACTCTAGACAGTCTTCACTGTCACTGCAATTATACTGTATACCCAGAATTTTTTGTTCCAGATTGCCCTCTGAAATAAACAAAAATCATTACAAGAAATACTAGTAAACAATATACTTATATGTAGTAAATAAAGTTATGTGAAGAGCGAAATTAACACCAGGTGAATACAGATTTAACCAGTGATGGGTGAAAGTTTTCCAGTATACAGTACAAAGAATATGAATAGAAAAATAAATATGACTGGAAGGATCCAATTGAATGGCTGGTTTGTACAGGTTTCTCTTACTAACCAGGGTTCAGCTTAGTCAGTCTTCACTGAGACGACTTAATTTGGGATCTTATCTTTTCTCTTCTTTCTAAACAACTTTCTTCTTCTTAATGTCTCCCTTGACAATGCCTCACTTTTGGCCTTTAGTTTAGCATTCGCTCCTGTGAGGAAGGCTTTGGGTTCTGTCCCCTGCCGAGACATACCAGAGTCTGTAAAAATGGTAGTTTCTACTTAACACTCAGCAATTTAAGAGTGGGACGACTGGTTTGCCCGTTGTCAGTATAATGTGACTGGGTGGGGTGTCCTGCTGGGAGTCTTCGGCAGTATGTTTCAGTGAGGTAGCACTATAAAGTCAGCATCAGTTCCGCGCTATCACAAGGAGACAAACACGAACATATCCCAGCCTCCCAAAACACAAACACATACACTACACGCATGCATCTTGCACACAGGGGGAGGCCGTCCTTAAATGACCATAGCTGTTGATAGGACGTTAAATAATACTAAACCAAACCAAACTAATCACTATAAGTATTGTTACTAAGATCATAAATAGAAATTAAACTTGGACCTATATAAAGGTCAGGTTTCTGAGTTATAAAGGATTTGATTTAGTCAGTCTTACCTGGGATCATAAATTACTTGTGTAGTAAAGTACCTCGGGTTGATACTGTAAAATCAGATATTTTCGAGGGGCCAAAATTTCGTGGTTTCCCACTTAAACATCATTTCGTGGATACATGAAATTGTGGGTTACGAGTACTTACTCAAATGGAGAATTAGTGCATGTCAAATTTGTCAATTCTTCGTGGACCTATGAATGAGTGGATGAAGATAACCCAAAAAATCAACGAAATTAAAAAACCCACATATATTAGTGATTTCACAGTAACTGGATTTAGATTATTTCATTATGGAACAGTATCAATATAGAATTCACATATGAAATAGTTCAAAATTTGACATATATTAATTAAGACTCGAAGTATAAAGTATAAATAATATACATTCTTTCATTGTAGTGTACTATGCCTCCGGGACAAGTCTGGCAAAGTTTCCTGACGATGGTGTGGTTTTAAGTCATAATTTAAAAGATCAAGGTAAGTCTTACAGAAGGGAATTAGAGTTATCATGAAATACTAAAATGAAGATCTGTAAGAGTTATGAAATATTAGAATGCAGATCTGTAAAAGTTATTGAATATAAGGATGCAGATCAGTAAAAACTATGAAATACTAAAATGCAGATCTGTAAGAGTTATGAAATACTAAAATGAAGATCTGTAAAAGTTGTGAAATATTAAAATGAAGATCTGTTAAAGTTGTGAAATATTAAAATGAAGATCTGTAAGAGTTATGAAATATTAAAATGAAGATCTGTAAGAGTTATGAAATACTAAAATGAAGATCTGTAAAAGTTGTGAAATATTAAAATGCAGATCTAGAAGAGTAATGAAATATGAAAATGAAGATCTGTAAAAGTTGTGAAATATTAAAATGCAGAAATCTGTATTATTTAACAAGGCTACAATTGTTTTTCTCTCTCAGTATTTTAACATTCGTTGGTCCTTGCGACCTCTCTTGTTAAGCATGAAATAATAATAATTAAGAAGTTTGAACAATATTGATGAAATGTATCTTGTCTTCTTACACGACAAACTTTTACTTGATATAGCCAGTAGCCGAAAAGCCATTTTAGAGAAGAGAAACAGTATATTATATCATTAATTGATACAAAACAGCCAGTAGCCGAAAAACCATTTTAGCGAAGAGAAACAGTATATATTATCGCTAATTTTTACTTGATACTTTAAAAATGTAAATATTTCTTTCCAATTCACAGTCTTTCATAAGTATTTAGTACATTGTGCATAAGTCTTACAGCCGGTGAGACTTAAAATAAATAAACTATTTGAACTTGACCTTGTGCGAAGGTCAAGGCTGTTGTTCAAGTATTTTGGTTGTTTGTAAGATAACAGTAAACTATATTATTATTTTATTAGTAATATCTATTGTCCTTTGGGTAGACATTGTATTTCATTGTCATTGAAGAACAACCCAAGCCAGTCTAGCTGTTTACCACTGTTTATAGTGTAGCCGATAACAACGTTGCCAAATTGCTGTCACAATTTCCTGCCAAAACTTGTTTATATCACGTGATCTACATAGCAATTTCATCCATGATGTCATTATATTGTGAACCGTAATTTGTAGCTTAGCTCTACTATGCCACTGTAAAATTGTTCTGATGATGGCAGGCCTAGCCTACCGAAACAGTCAACAAATAAAATCTCCTGATTCACGGAATCCCTGGTGTTGATGCTCCATCTCTTGCCTACTAGTAAATTATATTAGTTATTTGGAGGCCATGAGTAATCTGTGTTTGTTTTGTATTGTGGTAGGTCATGAAGTTCTGAAGGGAGAAGCTAAGACGGTGGAAGGCGTGGCCATTCTCGGCCTGTACCAGACCACAGCGGCTCCAGAAAGTGGGCGTGTCGCCCTGTTTGGGGACTCCAACTGTCTCGACAACAGTCACATGCAGAAAGGTTAGTTTAAAAAAAACATTTCGGTATAGAGGAATATTGGTGTCATGATCACTTGTGGTATCTATTCTAAATGAATGTAAAATAAATAAAAAATAATAATGGTATGTACACTTTTAAAATATGTTTAATGTAGACATGCTAATATCACAGACTGAGAGGTCATTATTTTTTCAATGCCTCCGCCAGGATTGCCGAAACGGTATTACTAGTCTTACTTTCTACTGAATGAGCTGAAGAGAAATTCTCCCTGGTCGATGGGGATCGGCTAGTATGTTACCAGTATGACACTTATGTTTAGTGGTGATCTTGTTTTAGTGTTTCGTGTGACGTCTTTGATGCACAAATTTGAGCCCCGCATTTTATTTTAGATGCATATTCTCTATAGTAATCACTGTGCCCGTTTTCTGTGTCTGTCTGTCTGTCATTCTGTCCACACTTTTGTGTCCAGAAATTTTCTCGGAATCCGAAAGGCCAATCGTTCTGAAATTTGACAAAGTGATACACTGTGAAATGTAGATGTGCAATAGGGATTTAAAAAAATATTAAGGTCAAGGTCACTGTTACTCAAAGGCTAGTCTTTATCAAATTTGACTTTCTGATACATTTTGATATGTAGATGTGCAATAAGGACTAAGAAAATTTCTAAGGTCAAGGTCATTGTTACTAAAAAAAAAGACCATAGGGGGTGGGTTAGGGGTTATGGTCAGGCACATTTCGGGGCCCTTGCTGACCTGTTACTGACCTGTTAGTATTCTAGTTTCTGTACAGAAGTAGTACTATACTAACAATATAAGTACATGCTTTCAGATTTACATTCATTTTGCTCAGGGTGATGATAACACTACTAGACTGGATGAGTGCTAAATTATAAGTGTGCTAATTAAAACGTGTTTACAGGTTCATTGTAAGGACAGGCTGGAAAATATTTTTCGCATTTGTTGAAAAAGTTGTGAAAGAATGTAAACCAGATAATATTGTGCTGAAAAGTAAAATATATACTGTATATATTTCTTTGGTGAAACAAAATATTAAAAATATAAATTGAATATCATATTGGTGTCAATGGAGTAACAAACTTGTAGAATATTTTTAGGTCTTGTTTACTGACACTAATATGTTGCTTTTCAGACTGTTTCTGGCTACTTAGTGCCCTGTTAGAGTACACGGCCTACAACAGCCTTGTTCCCCTGTTCTCCAGCACGGACCAGTCCATCCTGCCTCCTGCGGAGCTTCCACTGAGAATGGAGGGTGGGTAGCATTTACTACAGGACCGTGATCAGGGCCCAGTTGTTTAGTGCTGAACTAATCAATAAGTCATGGATTCAAATTTCCAAAACCTGACTTAAAATTAATAAATAGTGTGTGTCTTGTTTTCAAATGATCATTCTGAATTACCTTTGCATACAATTTTAGTTTTTAATTGCAGTCTTTTGATACTACACTAGATTTAAAGTCAAGAAATAAAGGCACAGAACCTGTCACTTTGACATGACCAATTGTAACTAGATTTTACTGACCATCTTTTGCCCTTTAAAATTTCTGCTCCAGAAACTTGTAAGCGCAACTGCACCTTAACAGGTTTTTTTTTGTTTTTTTTGCATTTTGGCACAGTAAAACTTCATCAAATGTACATGTGCATGAAGAAATTAATTTGTGATTCGATTATTTTTCCTCGAGTTATGGCCCCTGAAATTTAAATTTCTGCTCCAGAAACATTATACATGTACGCACAAGCAGAAGGGTATATCTTTATGAGCCCCCTTATAGTTTCTCTAGTTTGTATTGGAAACATGGTCATCAGTATACTGTTAAGTGCTAGAATGTCTCCTTGGATCACCGATGTCATGACATCTGGGTGCATCAATATATTGCACTCATCTTTTCTTATTTTTTTTACAGGGAATCACCTGCATCGTTATTCAAAAGTGCTAGAAGGTCACCTAGGGTCACCAAGGTCACGACCTTTACCGCAGTGTCCAAGACTGATCTGGACGGCAGCACAGCCCCTGAATGTATCCGCTCCATCGTACGTACCGTCACTATAGTATGTCTAGGTCGATTACGAAACACGAAATACGGACTAAAGAAATATCCCCTGTGGAGATTATTTTCTGATTATCTTGTCTGATGGAATTTTTAATTATCATGTCAATGATTGAGGCTCCCCCATACTCGCTCTGATTAACATGGAATTGGCAATTTCAAAGGTGCACATTCAGAATACTTTCCAAACGTGTACTTCTTCACACAAATGTGAAAATAAAACATATTATTCTTGTATTTGGATTTGATGAAATATTTGTTTTATTACGTCAAATGATTTTCAAGATGCTTTGATGAGTTAAGTCTGTAGGGTAGGGTCATACTTTGATGAGTTAAGTCTGTAGGGTAGGGTCATACTTTGATGAGTTAAGTCTGTAGGGTAGGGTCATACTTTGATGAGTTAAGTCTGTAGGGGTTTTTCCATTTATTAGGCATGTTTTAGCATGTTTATAAGAAACTTCGGTACTTTATTTGTTGAAATATGAAAATATTGCTGTCTTATTGTCATGATGGGAATTTTGAATATAATATAATAATATGGAAGGGTTGTAAATGAGTTCATCTTCATTGCAAGTATGGTTGAAAGTTGTTTTGTCTATAATGCTGGTCAAAAAGTGAGAACTGGTTTTTATACGCTCGTCAAATTTGACGGGAGAATTATGGTATGGCGTCGTCCGTCCGGCGTAAACTTTCGTTTGTCTGACAATCTCCTCCTTTCTTTTTCCACCGATCTCTTTGAAACTTACATTATAATCATGATATGAAGTTGTGACTCCCATAAAAGAATTTTGATTTGACAATTTTTTCAAAATTTATTGGCCTTTGTTCATCTCCTCCTACATTTTTTGACGGATTTCTTTGAAATTTAGTAGGCTAAATAATCACGATATGTTGTTGTGTTTCCTCGAAAAGAATTTTGATTCAACAATTTTTGCAAAAGTTATTGCCCTTTGTTTGTTTTTTTGTCCGGAGATTGTCTCCTACATTTTTCAGTTCACCTGGCACGAAGTGCCAAGTGAGCTTATGCCGTGGCGCGGCGTCCGTCGTCCGTCCGTCCGGCGTCCGGCGTCAATATTTTACTTTAAACGACTTCTTCTTAATAACCGAAAGGCCTAGGGTGTCGATATTTGGCCGGCAGCAAACTTGGATGAAGGGCTACAAAGTTTGTTAAAATTAATGACCTTCACCTATTTTCAAGGTCACAGGGGTCAAATATGTCAAAAACTTCAAACATCTTCTTCTCAATAACCAAAATGCCCAGGGAGTTGATATTTGGCCAGTAGCATGCTTGGGTGAAGGGCTACCAAGTTTGTTCAAATGAATGACCTTCAATTATATTCAAGGTCACAGGGGTCAATTGTATTAAAAAACCTTTAAACAACTTCTTCTGAATAACCAAAATGCTCAGGGTGATGATATTTGGCCAGTAGCATGCTGAGATGAAGTGCTACAAAGTTTGTTCAAATGAATGACCTTCAC